CATAGCCATGGGACATCTCATCGATATTTGCAAAGAAACGGCGAAAACCTACAATTTTAACATATGGGTTGGGAGCCCCTTGTCTTCCCTATTTGCATTTTTGCCGTCCTAGCACCGAATTGAATCTGAATGCAGCAGTCAGGAATTATTGTAAAACTAAAAATTCATGGGTCACTAACCGCTCGTTTCTTTTCTTTTGCGACCTGAACCATGTTCAACTTCACTGCTAATAAGCGTAGAATCCTCTTTCCAGCTTCTACTCCAGTATTAGAACCGCTCCCTTGAAGATCTGAATCTGCAAAATCACATTTCTCCCAAACAGGTATAGAAAGAGCCCAGGAGAGCAGTTTTTCAGCCAGGTATGGGAACCTAACTTCCTTGCCCCAGTGAGATATAACTCGATCATCACGTCCAAGGTTACGCTTTCCTAATCGGTTGATGTCGAGTTCAATTTCATCGATCAAGCCTGTGTAGCCACTACGAGCAAATGCAGTAGCATGGCGTTGGTATCCGCCAAAGAGCTCGTCTGCTCCAAGCCCTGAAAGGAGTACACGGGCGGGTGTTTCGTAGGAAGTACCTTCAAGGATTCCTCTGCCTCTCGAAGCAAAGTAGAGAGCGAGGGCAATAGAAAGATCCATCTCCGTGTTATGAGGGTGCATTAGCTCAATCACCTGTTGACGGTGCGCAAGAGTTTCCTCATAAGCAACGTTGATCTCAACAAAGCGCCACTTTCTTTGCGGACAGACCTTTCGCAACTCTTCAAACGATGCTCGCCCCGTAGCTCTATCTGGGCAAAGTTCATAAATACATGAGCTTACAGTGTCCTGCATCCTTTTACTGTGTATTCGAGGATTTTCGAAAGCCACGTTGAGGAGATCGATAATTTCTTCCGTGGGTAATAAATCGTGCGATATGCGAGCTAATATTGTACAATCAAGTCCTCCCGAGAACAGAATTGCTATTTTTGGGTGAGATTGAGTTAGTGGATCAGTTGAGTTGTTAGAAATAGGCTGCACATTGTAAATGCGATCAGCTAGTGACTCTCGTAGATGATGGCATAGCGCAGAAATAGCGGGCGAATCTGTATTTAAATTAAGTATCTTTCCACTGGTAATCTTGTTCAATGGTCCGAATGGTAGCGTCTAGAATGAGTGTGAGACTATCACAAGGCTGGAGCGAGGTACAGATGAGACGAACCAGTTCGAGTTTTGACCCATCTCGCGAAGGCGAGGAACGATAAGGCACATGACATGGACATATTGACCGTGGGTTTTTCTGATCTTCGAATCTGTAGGACAGTTGAGTATCATTCAAACCTAATACGTAAAGTCCATCTGCTTCAACTTCATGCCATGACCCTCTAGTAGTAGGAATATCAGCAATGCTACAGAGAGTGATTTCGTCTGTCCTGTCAGCTCTGAAGAGCAAGGATCGTCTCCCAAGGCAATCTCTACCATAGAGTATCCTTCTGAAGGGAGCATCATAAAAGACAAAAGCATAAGGTCCGGCTATGCTGGAAATAGCATCGAGAATATTTTTAGAGGCAGGTCCAGAGTTACCATCTGGTGATAGAGCCTTCGTTGTGGCGGATACTTGGAGCAGAAGATCAAAGACGGCCTTGGAATCATTTCCATCGATGGGGCTCCCATTTACCTTCCACGCCTCTCCATTCCAACAGAGAACAGAGCCTGTAGCGTCATCAACCAGAGGTTGAGCTACGATATTCTCACCTCGAAGGGAGAGAACAGTGGACACGAAGCATAGGTAAAAGGTCCCTGACTGGGTAAAGCCTAAAGTTTGGATTTCAACACGATGTTCACGCGTTGAATCGGGGCCTCTACTCTGTAGTCGTCTCAAGGTTTGAGGACTGGGGACAATAAAATCGGAAGAACTGAGAGAAAAGAAGATGCCACACATTGGTAGTTCTAATAAGGTTTAAGATGCTCAGTGTTGGAGAGCGCTGGCTCAAAAAGTTTTGGTGTCGGCATCTCCCCGGAAGTGGAAGTACGATGCCCTAACCCCTGACAGCCCCTTTACGGTACAAAGGTACCCTTTACCCATGCACGGAGCAGTCAGTATTAAGACATACGTACTATCTAGTCCTGGAATACAAGAAATTATGCTATACATGTGCCTACTGCTTTCTTTACCACACCATGTCCACTAGGACAAATGCCGTGAACTCTGATCGATCGCTCATCATAGTACTCAAATCGTGTTCTCTAATATATGGACACCCCTAGTCTTACAACCTGCTAATCAAGCTCCTCTACTTCTCCTAGGTCTTCAACGCTGAATGTGTCTACACTTTCTTCTAAACCTGCTTTCTTCTTTCCCTTCACACCTTTCTTACCCTTTCTCTTGACGCCTTCCATGACCAAAGGCGCTTCCTTAACCCATCTTGCAATCGCTTCCGCTCGTTCTGTAGATATTGGGTACTCTTTCCCATCTTCCTGAGCCCATCTTCGCGGCGGATCTCTATCTGCTGGACTACTGTTTCCATTGGTATGATTACCGTTAAGGGAGGCTGAGTCAGTCCTAGGACTTCTGCTAGCGTTTCTACTTTCTTCTTCATCTTCCATTGCTCTTCTCTCTCTAGCTCTTACAGCCTTCTGGAAACTCTCTTCATCCACAACACGATCATCAGCTAGAGCTTCAAGGATCGCTTCATGTTTCATCCTTTCCCTCTTTTGTTCTTCTGTTTCAGTCCTCTCCGCTCCTTCTTTCTGACCTGGTAACGGAGCAGGCTTACACAATTGTTCCCACGATTGGGACAAGCCGATCCAATTGTGCGCTCTTCGAAGTACTTCCATCCAGTCGCTACGACTAGGCGACCGAGCGGCAAGGAAAATTGGGTAACCGTCACAAACCCGAGCGAGGCGAGCTGCATTGTGGGCGTGGCGAAGAAGTTCCTTGGGAGATGTCTGCAGAAGCGCATGGCACAAAAGTAGAGAATGTAAAGCATCTGTCAAAAGAGGATGATATGTGATCGCTTCATGAGGGTCGGCAAACATGGTTGTCGCAGACGGCGAATTGGACTGAGACTGTGGCGCAGTTTTATATAAGGTAGTTGAGTCTGAAGGATAAGGTGGTAGGTTAGGGGGAGGGTTCGGTGAGAAAAGCGAAGAGAGCTGGTATATCTGCGGAGGTGGAAGTTGTGCCCAGTTGGGCGCAGAACGTCTTTCCTGGTGGTGTTCCCTGTGTGGGACTAATGCATCTGATAAACTACCATTTGACTGAGAAGAAGATCCAAGCACAGGCGAAGAGATATGATGAGTCTCTTCAGAACCATTGGCGGCAACATTTGCGCGGCGGAGGAATTCTTCCGCGAGTTCGGTCGGAAAGCCCGATGTGTAGTCAAAATGAGAGAGGAAGGAAATGTAATCTCGAATAGCCCTCTTTGCATTCGTTTTGACAATCTTTCGCTCTTCAAGCCGTCTCTGATGAGCCTCTATCTCTTCGGCACTTAATTGTGGCGTCTTCAGACTGTCACCCCCAGACACGATATTATTCTCTCCATTCAGTCCAGGTCCTCCTGCCTTCTCCAATCCGTCCAATGCAGAGTGAATATGCTGACAGGCGATGGCGAAATACGTACCAGCCCGATGGAACAATAATTGGGCCTCCAAACTGCTTGGCTGATCTTCCTCCTCTAGCTTGACTTCTTGCCTCCAGTCTCTGCCGAAACTCCTTTTCTCCACTTCCCCCTTTACTGTCCTGGCAAGTACCAGTTGATTCTTGCCTGCTTTGTGCTGCGCCATCCAATATCGACAAACCGCCAGGCTCTCCGTTAAGTCTTTTGCGGCATTAGCATAATCGTTCTTGAACATTCTGGTGAGGGCTCTTGTCCTGAGCGGAGCTCCATCAGTGGGTCGTTCAGCTATTATTTCGTTCAGTGGATCCAAGGGTGTATTCTGCGCCATCATCCTGCTTGGAATCTTTTCATGAAAAAAATGAACGTATTTCGCATCACTATCTGCACTACTCCGTTCTAGCACATATTGTGCAACATCCTCTAAAGTTGACGCTGACTGCATTGTTGCCACACTCGCAGCTATTTCATCGAGATGGTATGCTTGGGATAACTTTTGCGTCGCCAGTTCTCGCATCCTATGTTTACGTTCTCTACTCAATTTCGCATTGCCCCCACCTCCACCATACCCTAATCCCAGGGCTGCAGCACCTCCAAGTATGCCGTTTCCTGCATTGAGGGAGTTGCTTAGAGCTGCAGAGGTAAGGCCACTGGTAGCGCGTACAGCCAGGTTCGTCGCTTCATCTACAGCTTTACGAATCTTGACAAGGTCATAGAAGACAGCAGGGTCTATGGGATGTGGTCGCGGGGATATGTAATTGCTATGGGCAAGACTTTCGAGAACTTCCGGTGGTAGTTGTAGCCAAGGTCCATGGAACGAAGATATGTAACGCCAGTGTCTAGAAACCGGAGTCTGTTAATATAGAGTTCGCAAGTTGACAGAAGTGCGAAGAGTGCAGGTAATGAGTAATGATATCAAAGACATGCCTCGATAAATACCTACTTGTTGCGACATATTATCAGTGCCGAAGTGGAAGGTGGTGTCTTGGTCGTATTTTGGAATGTCTTGCCAGAGACAGGCGGGTCTAAAGCTTTCGATGTGACTATGGGCGGCATAGGACTCGATGATGACTCGGCGGCACTTGTAGCAGAAATATCGGATCGAGATGATCTTTTCTTCCTGGCCATAGTGGTCGCCGATAACTGATCACTTAGTTGGAGACTCTCTTTTGCGTGCACATACTGTAACTATTCCCTGCACGTCAATCGTCCAAGATCGTTCTCTCGAGAAAGTTTTTGCCAAGGCTCGAGGTTGGAGCAGGGATGTTGAAGGTCGCCTTAGCTCAAGCTAAGGTAGCTTACCTTATAGCTCCAAGACTAGCGCCTTAGCTAGTAGTTTGAAGGGGCTGCAATGCATAATATTTTGCGCTCGTTAAGTATTTAGATTTGCTAAGTTATTATAATCATCGGTCGATTAGCTCAGTTGGTTAGAGCGTGGTGCTAATATCAGTAGATATGATACGCCAAGGTCGCGAGTTCGACCCTCGTATTGACCATAATCCTCAAATTTTCTTTTTGCCCATTTTCTTGTGCTTAACTTTTTGTTCTCAGTTTCTTTTTACTCTTAAGTATAAACACCCCTTTTCATCAGTACATAAGGTAAGAGTGAAAATTATAAATTTTCACCCTAATAATCGATCGATCATAACGCTATCGGAATCTGAAAGTACTCCTTAGAAAGCTTGTCCATCGCCTTAATAGTCTATATACTAAGGTAATAAAGAAACCCGGGTCGGGTAGCACTATCGTAGTTATTTATAATTTGCTTACCAGCTTCTTTTTCCAGTCCTTCAATATCCGTTTCAAGTTTACATTATTTCCATCTATGAGTTAGACTAGATACCGGGTACTTTTTTATACAGTTAAGGTACTTACGTTTTCTGGGTTTCTAAGCTATAGTCATTCAAGAAGTCACTCAAATCACAGCAATTTGACTCATGTTATCTTTCAAATTATAGTGGAAGCCAATTATGTCTTAAAAAAAAGGTTTCCCTAACGATCATAGAGGCATAGTTCATCAAACTACTCGGTTTGAGTTAGCATCATACAAGAGCATTTCGGATCCCTACAGTATCTTATTCGCCAGTATCTATCTCGCGATGCGGCCTTCCAGAGTTCGAATTTACATGTGCATTCACAAGATTGAAGGTCCTTCTGCCTCAACCTAGATTAAGCGCTGTCGGTATCCTGCATACTTCCTTAGGTGGGGAGAGATGGAACATGGTCGTTTACAGATGTTAATGTCTACATGAGTGGAAGGGATAGACTTGTGAACATATAAGAAAGAAGACAGGTGCTATAATTACCTTGTTTCTAACGGGACCGTGTTCCCTATAGCTAAGCTAGAATAAATAGCATCTCAAAAATATAACTATACTTAGTGAGCTCTAAATTTCTGATAGGTACACCTAGAGAGCAAAATAGTAGAGCGCCGACAACATTATAATATACTTAGTCGCCTAAAGTTAAAAATAAAAGTGCAAAAGTGAATGGTCAGTACGAGGGTCGAACTCGCGACCTTGGCGTATCATATCAATTGATATTAGCACCACCTGGTGATATGTTAGACGTTATAATATGTGGGATGGACAATTTAACTTACGCTCTAACCAACTGAGCTAACCGACCGTTGGTTTGGCAGTTGTGGAAACACTGATGTCCATGTCCCCAGTTTCGGTAAAGCTATTCGGGAAATAACTCTATACCGCACTTTTCCGATCTAAGCCGCCTGCAATGTATGCTAGTTGTAAATCATTCTTTCCTTTGTGCGATATGTGAGTACTTCAACACCTTCAACAATAATGATTCTGTTCCTCCTACTCAAGAGAGTAATGTCTGATGAAGAAATGTTCTCAGTAGCCAGTCCATGGTCAATACACCACTTGGTATTAGTATACATCATTATAATCTTCTCTTTGGCCCCTATTCAATATCCAAGCCCATTCCATCCCCCTCGTATCCTAGATAGTCGTCTTCATACCTCCTCACAATATTTGTAGATGCCATACCTCCCTTCCTTTCTCATCCGAGACCAAACACCTTGCGTTTTTTCACTTCATCTAGTAAGTCTGCAATATCTTCCTCTTTTTCCCCCGCTCTTTTCTCAAATTCAGCCAAGTTATCCTTCACCCACTCAACATCATTTCCCGCTTCAGGAAGAAGAAAACCCGCTTCCTGACCGCCGGCGATGGTGTTGAGAAGGAAAGTAGTGTGAAGCTTCTCGGAGGTGGAGGAGGGCGACATGATGGTGTTCCAGAGATCTGTGAGGAAGTTTGTGAGAGCGTCAAGCGCGGAGCGAGGCCGGTCTGGACCGGGCCGGAGATGGACAATTATGATGTTGAACGATTTCTGTATGTGAGTTTATGTGAGCTTCGATTCCGAACCGGCTGGTGGGCTACGGATAAAAATTGGTACGAAAGGTAGGTGTACATACCCTTTTTCCTGCTACATAATGCGGTATTGAGGATGAGTCGTGAAAGCGAACGTTAACAAAGAGCGATGGGGTTGTGAAACGCGAGCTATGGAGCTTGGTGATAGCTTCTGCTAGTTGGTCCTTCTGAGAATCTGATATGTCAATACAGTGGTGGATCTCGTAGACAGGCATTATGGTGGTGCGAAGGTCAGTAAAATTCAAAGAATATGAGGTTGAAGTCCTGGAAAAAGGGAAGTGGGCCGTCCACGGGGATCATATAGTACACTGACAATGAGAGTATGTTAAGAGGGGCAATGTTCAAGTTACCGCAAGTCAAATGTCTTTCTCCCTCTTGCATACGGAAGATAACTTGTAAGGTATGGTAGTGCTGGAATCTCAAGGTAGACACATGTGTGTCGCTCACTGTCGATCATGACGTTGTGAAATCGGCGGTATGCCGAACGAGTGAAGGAGTACGGGAACTAGACGAATCTTGCATATTAGGAAGATTCGTACAGAGTGAACAGAGAAACAATGTTAAGAATAATGGACAACTGGAAAAGCCTAGTGAGGGTAGTGCCTGATGATGAATATAATGTCAATGTTCAAAAAGTCATGATCTGATAGCCAACAAAATGACCCACCCGAAAAAAAAATAGAACGCCCGCGAATGCTTTAGCACCCCATTATACGCCATTTTTTGAACAAAAGAAGTTATTATCACTATGCTTTGTTGCCTGCGCCGTCCAAATTACCATCATATCGAGATGTAGCCGTAAAGAGTAAGGAGAAATAGAGAGGCCGAGGGATACTTCAGTCAATTTGAAGAGAGCATCCAAGTCAAATGCCACCTCCTACGCACCGAGTCCCATCAGCAAGATACAAGGACAGTTATAGTGTGGTCTGGTGGAATCCGTTCGAGGTAATTTGGGGGTTAACTGACCGGATCGGGAGGTATGCACCGAATAATCGCGCTGCAACCGCTGCTTCCTCTTCTCGGAGAGCGTACGCGCTTTCAAAATGGCGTAAGAACCTCCTAGTGAAAGGAGAACAAAGATGGATACATTTCGTCGGCTATGAACGTCAATTGAGAGCTGTTATGCCACAATATGTCGGAGTCGTAGGGGTGGAGAACTTTATGAACTCACTTTACAAAGTTTTGCCAAGTCATGGGTAGTGCGAAGCAGTTCAAAGGTATTAAAGAGATTTAGAAATAGAATTGGAAATTTGGTTCTGCCAGATAATAGATGGATATATGAAGATGAGTTGTTGAAGATATAAATTAGTGCTTTATTCCATTGTAGGCACACGATCTCTTTCCCGCTTTCCCGCAGTGGAAAGTAGAAAGTAGAAACACTAAAAGCTTCTTATCGATAAGATATGTCCAAGCTCAAACACTTATTTTTTTGTGCGCAGGACGTCTGAACCTGAACTAATCAATATCTTTCAGAACAGTTTACCTTACAATCTTCGAAGAACCTAAATTTGCAAATGGGGCCTCCAAATAAACGAGTATCCGACCCGCGGTTCTCCAACATCCACACCGACCCTCGATATCGCCTTCCATCCAAAAAGCATACCCATGTTAAACTCGACAAGCGTTTCTCGCGCATGTTACGCGATGATGAATTCTCTCGGCAAGCTCCAGTAGACCGATACGGACGGGAAGTAAAACGTGATGCGGGGAAAGAGAAGCTACGAAGGCTGTATAAGGAGGAATTGACGGACGAGGAAGATGATGAGGACGAAGGGGAAAGTAGCGCCGATGATGATGATGAGGTCGCGAGGGAATTAAATAGGTTGGACAACAAGTACAATCTAGCGAGAGACGGGGGTTTCGATACCTCCTCGTCAAGTAGTCAGAGCGAATCGGAAGAGGAAGATGAGGATCTTGAAGATCCTGGGGAAGAATTCCTCAATGTTGAAGAGGCGCAGGTTCCCACCGGAGACGTATCGTCACGCTTAGCGGCAGTAAACTTGGACTGGGATAATATACGTGCCATGGATCTAATGGCGGTCGCGTCTAGTTTTGCACCCCCTGAGGGTCGAATATTGAAAGTTACAGTATACCCTAGTGAGTATGGACGTGAGAGGTTGGAGCGGGAAGAGTTAGAAGGACCGCCCCGTGAAATATTTACGTCCACTACCCATGAAGATGGACCTATCTCTGAGGCATCAGCAGACGATGGTTCAGAATCCGACAATGAAGAGAAGATCAAGAAACGTCTCATCCAAGAAGACGACGGCGCAGATTTTAATTCAGCTGCTTTGCGCAATTATCAGCTTACTCGTCTTCGATACTATTACGCAGTTCTCTCATGCTCAGACATGAACACTGCTAAACACCTTTACGACGCTATGGACGGTCGCGAGTACCTCTCATCTGCTAACTTCTTCGACCTTAGATTCATCCCTGATTCCGTGAAGTTTGATGAAAACCCCCGGGACGAGTGTGAGAGCGTACCTGACGGCTATAGACCTAATGATTTTGTTACTGATGCCCTAACGCGGAGTAAGGTTAAGCTCACTTGGGATGCCGACGACACCCAGAGGAAAGAGGTACAAAAACGTGCCTTCAGCCGAGGGGAACTAGAAGAGAATGACTTGCTGGCGTACATCGGTAGCGATAATTCCTCGTCAGATTTTGCTGGCTTCTCCGACGAAGAGATAGAAAGGGAAGTAGAGGATTCAGAAGCAAATTTTTCGAGAATGTCAAATAAGAGTGCCAAAGCCGCTGCCCTTCGCTCAGCCCTCGGCCTTTCCGTGGAGCCAGCCAAATCATCAAAACAAAAAGATGATGGACCTGTGGGGAATATGCAGATCACGTTCACGTCCGGACTTTCAAGCAAGCCGTCTAATAATTCTGTATTCGAAAATGAGCCTATAACAGAAGAGACCACTATGGAGAAGTACATTCGGAAAGAAAAGGAACGGAAAGCAAAACGAAAAGAAAAGGCCAAAGCTAAACGACTCGATGAAGAACCAGTAGAAGCAGCATCTACAGCTATTGAGGTTCCAAAAGTTTCCGATAACGCTAAGAGTAACGTAATGGAGAGTGAAGACCCCTTCAATGATCCGTTCTTCCTCGACCCGGCTGCTCATACTGCTACAGAAGCTAAAAAAGCGCGACGCGACGCGAAAGCTCGAAAGCGCACTGAGCGGGAGGCAGAAGAAAGGGTGAATGCGTCGAAGCGTGCTAAGTTAGAGCTATTGATGATGGACGAGGACAAAGACCAAGGGAGTATGCAGCACTTCGACATGATCGAGATTGCCAAGGCCGAGAAGGAAAGGAAAAGGGACAAGGGGGGGAAGAAAAGGAAGAACGCAGTTGAGAAAGCTAAAAGAGATGACTTCCAGATGGATGTCAACGACCCTCGGTTTAGGGGCGTATTTGAGAGCCATGAATTTGCTATTGATCCGACGAATCCTAGGTTCTTGGGCACTGAAGGGATGAAAGCACTACTAGAGGAAGGTCGTAGAAAAAGGAAGGAAAGAGAATCTGACCCCAAACCTGGCCGAGTGGCGAAAGGAGCGGTCAAGCGATCAATCAACAAGGAGGTCGGAGATGCTGATGATCTGCAGAAACTGGTTGCCAAAGTCAAGGCCCGAAGTAGAAAATAATAAGTGGATTGGAAGATGCATTATAGACATAGTTTTCATTGCTGCTCGCATTAGATACCAAACTATATTATGATGTTCTTCAAGGTTTTTAACAACCATTGTTAGCTTAGCATTTAGCGTTGTATCACTTCAATTATGGCTGCTGTCCTCTGTGTGATATAGAATTTCTCTAGGATCACGAAGCAAACCTACAACGAGCTGTGTGTACGGAGTCCGATTTAAACGAGGTCTTGATAGAGACACGTATCATAGAAAACGAAATTTGCAAGATTTCAGGATCACTTCTTTATGTGGATCAAGGTCTTTCACTTGAACACATCTAGCTAATCTATCATTGAATGAATCACTTTGTTTGAAGAGAATCGAGATTTTCATTGCTATATTCTGTAACCTAAAGAAGTTGGGTTATAGTTTTCCAGCAAAACGGGGCACCAAAATACATCCAAACAATCCCAAAAGCAAGCATCGATTATACAATGTATGAAAGTGTGGAAGGAACACAGGACCCCACCGTGTGCATGAATAGCGCCTTCAACTACAGCCATTCGCTCAGCCTCGTGTAGTCCCTCTCTTGAGATAGAGAGCAAATACTTGG